TTCCAGTAAATCACTCTTATCTCGACCTATGATCTTTGCCTTTTGTGTCTCTAACTGGAGAGGGAATAGGGGAAGCACTAAACTGGTAAATAACCTTCCTAAACCAGGATACTTCTAGAAGCCCAGGAATAAAAATTTTAGGTTCTATGATTTTTTAGGTTCAGGAAGTGAATAAACAAAATCACATCTAAACTATTCTGTGTGTAAGTTCCATTTTTTTGTGCAAGACTTTTTCTAGTTAGGGACACCAGGGATAATTCTGAGGCATCAGGAGAGAGGCACTAGATGACCCTATAGGAACTTCAGGGAACCCTGCTTATACTGAATCTTTGTAAATATTTTGCCATTGACTTCACCAAATAAAACATTTAACTCCCTATTGCTATTAACTGACTTTCTATGCTGCATTCTTCATAGAATGCAGTAGTGCTACAGGAATATATTGTTAAAAATGTTGGGGTTTCTTAAGAAGGTATTTTTTTGATAACTGGAGTTATATTTTCAGAGGCAGTTCAGTTGCCTGTATCTGACTTATTTTATGCAGTGTGTTTAGAAATGGGATCAGGGATTTAAAACAAGCATCTTGCTTTTTAGGTGCCTCAGTAAGTCATGGTTCTCTGGGACACGATCAGTTATAAATGGATAAAAAGATAAGGGAAAAGCCAGTTTGCATGTTGATGCTGAATCTGTAAAGCTGGTAATACCCAGTGGTAGTCAAAATATGCAGCACTTAAGAAAGTCTTTTAGTGTGTGAGCTGTGGTGTTAAAATGAGCTGTGTCTTAATATTCCTTGGTGGAAATGCACCCAGCATTTGCCTTGCCTGTGTCAGTGACTCTGTAGCTGCAGAGTTTGGGTAGTTCACAAAAGTTACACAAGGCCTTTCCATCTCTTGTTCTCTTTTTCTCTTTTCATTTTTCTCCCTACAGCAGCTAATGTTGGCTGCCTGGAAAAAATCTTCACAGTGAGAGGGCCAGGGAGTGTGGGCATCCTTTTCAGCTAGCATAGGAAAGTTGCTTTGTTTCAGGTGTAACCAGTAAAATCTGTTTCTGAAGCTGGAATGCTGCAGGACAGATGTGATGGATGGGAATGGCTGCTCCTGCAAGCTGTGCAGCAGCAGCTGCCCTGAGTGCTGCTGTATCCCAGGATATTTTACATCTTGCATTCTTTCTTTTCCTGCATTTTTCCCTGGCAGTTACAGATTTAGCAGCATCAGGGCATAGTACTGGAAACACTGAAAGTGGTAGCCTTGAAGGAGCAAAGAGCATTTCTAGTTCACCATATCATGCCTTGAAGTTCACTCAAAAATCAGCTATAATGAGCCATCCTGTGCTGGTATAAATATGATGACATACATTGATGAGGCAAGAATACCATTTCACAAACAGTTTTTTAGACTGTTTTAGACCTAAACAAAATAAAATATCTGTGAACTTCCTACTGATTTTTTTCAATAGTCCCAAAGACTGAATGTTTTAAGAAACCAACTCTATGTTTATAAAAGATGTTGAAATGTGAATGAAATTCTGGTTACACAGTGGTAACTGAGGGTTGGCAGTGATAGATCAGTTTTTGCAGTATGGGAATCATGTGTAAACCTTTGCTGATATAGTAAGGCAAGAAAAATAAGAACAAGAGTGCCTAGAAATTTTTTATTCCAACTTAGCTGGAAAGATTCCAGCAGAAATCAATATCCCCTGCTGCTTTTGCAGGAACACCTGGACACATGGCAATTAAAAAAATGAAAAAATACCTTAAGGAATATGCACTGAATTCAGGGACATCTGAATACTTAAAAGAAATTCCCCTTTGTTACTTTTAAACATTTGGGACTATTACCACATTCAAAGACTAAAAATAAATTAAGGAGCTGTATTATTCAATTTTTTGAATGCCTAGGTTTTATTAGTTCTTTTAAAAAAAATCATTAAAAAGTCAAACCTCACAATAGAATGGAGTTTAATTACCAGGCTTCTGAAGCTTTGAAGGACAGATCCACCATGGAAAAGTCAATTCAGTGTTTTGTTAGGAGTAAAATAAAAAAAGAGACAATAGGATTTATTATTTATTAGATAAAGAATCAGGAAAACTGTGTAGTCTCTACAGTGTTTTCTCTTGTTTTGTACTTTCTGTAGTTACGTTTAGAACCAGCTTTCAGGTTTTGTTTTTATCAATATTTAATGAGGCTGTAGCAGAGTTTGTGAATGCAACATAAAACAACATCAGGATTGTAACTTTTATGAAACTCATGTATGGGATAAGTGAGTTCTCTCCAGCAGAAAGTTCCCAGCAGCTCCAGTGAAATCCAGGATATCATTCAGTGATCTTTGAGCTCAGACACCTGATCTCTGCAGCCAGGCATCTGTGCACAGCTCTGTGAAGAGTCCATGTGCATCAGCCTGCTTAGAGTTGTACAAATACTCCAAACCAGAAAAGACTCTGAAACTGAAAAGTGACTTTTAATGGGATTATTTATTAAAAAAAGAAAAAAGTTACCAATTCTTGAGTACTTTTCAACATTAGGAGTGCAATCCAAGGCTGCCATAAGGAGCTGCCAGCATCATTGTTACCCACAACTGTTCTTAATTTGAAAGGTGAGGGAAAAGAGATTGAGATTGTGTCCAAGTGGAGAAAATCAAGTATTGCAGTTTACCTCTGTTTATAAATAAAACACAAGAGTTGACTAATATTAAACAGAGGAATAATTAAAATAAAGCAGAGCAAAACTTCTAAAGAATCTATTTCATCTCAAACTTTAAAATGCTGACCTTGGCAAGGTGCTGTTGGTTTAATGATGGTACAAGAGGAGGCTCCTGCACATCAAAGCTGAGCTCTGAGAATTCCCTGCGTCACTGCCCCAGCCACGCTGGATCCCCCTCGTTTGCTCCTGTCCTTTGGGAGCACCTCAGATGCCTTTGCTCTGTGCATTGTGCACCTTCATGAAGGTGTTTGCACAGATTGCTTCCTCAGAGCAGGCTCACAAATGCAAGTGGTCTGTTCCCTAAAGCTGGATCAAGCTGTTTCTGCTCATCCAACAGTTTTACTTAGCTTTTGTAATTGCCAGGAGTGCTTTCAGATAATGTTACCTTCAGTTTTCCATATTTAAAAGGGGTAGAAATATAACTGGTTACTCAGGTTTATAGTTATTTTTTGCCTAATCAAGTTTTAAATGGTCATTTTAGTGCTCCTGGGTAAAACTGACCTTAAAAAGTAACTGGGCTACATCTTTTCTATGTGAGGATGGTTTTTTTTTACATTAAAGCTCATCAATCTTGAAATGCCAACAGTGAGATGCTAGTCTTAGAGATGTTTGCATTTATAAACATCTCGTATTGTCTCAAAAATTCAACTTGATACATTTCAGTTCAGGGTTTGCTTGCAAACATTAAAAACATAGTTTCTATTTAGCCTGCATCTTTTTTGTAAGTGCTGCTACTGGGGACAGTGGCACAGCCTTTTTGTTCTGAATCTGTAAAAACATTTGAGGAAAGACTGTTAGAGTTGATTCGCAGGATATTTTTTCTCTCCACTGAAAACACTAAACTACAACATCTTCTCTCTGGAGAGGAAAAAAAAGAAGTGTTGCATACAAAGAATAGGATGTGGATTTTCTTATTGTTTTCAAATGTGTTCTATTATCGTTATTTATTTTCTATCATTTAGTCTGCATATAAGGAGAGCTTCTAGAGGTGCTTGAGTAAAAATATACTGAGAACAAAAAGAGTTACTTTGACAATTTTTTGGGATTATCTGAATTTTCTTGCAGAACTGTAGTTACAGGTATATTGTTGCAGGTTCAGTATTTTGGTTTTCAACTTTGGTGTTAGTTTGGCAGATATTTACCTTATATTCAGTTATGAGCAAAACCAAGTTAAAGTGTTGTTATAACTCTTGAGTTTGTGAGGATCTGTGGCTGTTGAGCGCTGCTTCATTGATTTGACAGCAGTCAAAGTAATATTTTGTGATAGGCTGTATGATATACAATGAAATGTTCTCTTACCATTTCAGTGTATATCAGGTCCTGCAAAGTGATTAGGAATTTAAACTTTGTGAATTAAGATTGAATATCAAGATTCAACCGTGGGTCCGTGGAGATAATAATCTACTTTGAAAATCACATTTGGTTAGACAAAACCTTGTCATAGTGAAGAATATTAAAATATGTGTCAGTCAGGCATCTTCCTCTGAAAATTTCGCTTTATTGTTGATTAATCCAACTGGATTGGAAAGGTTAAAGAGTTTTATTAGAAGATAGGAATGATAGTTCACCCTGACATACTGCTGTCAGTCTATTCCAAATCTAATTATCTAATTAAATATTCCAGAGGTGCAGCCAACAGTTCTAGCTGCAGTCAAGCCTTTAACTGTGTTTTGGGGGTGCACTTACATACACATACAGATAATCTGTGGGAAATGGCACAATCAGTGGTACATTGCTTGTGTTTGAGTTTTAGGCTGTGTTTTGTGACTGGTGATTCAAATTAGCATTGACCCTTGGGTGTTTGGCTTTTTTTTTTTCCCTCTTTCATTGTAGTGGGTTTTTGTTGTTTTGTTTTTGTTTTTTTTCCTTTCAATTTACATTGTATTAATTATTTTTGTTTGGTTTTGATGAAAAAGAAAATTGTATCTCATTTCAAACCATGTTTTGGTGTAGTAATATGAAAATATTGTTTTGGTGAAAGGACACAAAGTAGGTGTCTTTACATTTGAGCAGGGAAACCTTGGAAATTGGTTGTGGTTGAGAAGTGCTTGAGATCATACTCCAACTTTGCTGCAGTCTGGTTTGTTTTTCTGCAGGTGTTTCTGGTGAATCTTTTAAGAGACCTGAATGCAAATAATGCTGCGGTCAAAGGGAGGTTGGCATGCCCTGTGCTTTCCATTTCTTTTAGCGTGTGTTTGATGTCACTGAGCCCAGTGTGATCAAATTAATTTCCCATGTGCTGCAGGAACAGCCAGTGTTTATCCTCACAGCCTTTCTTTGCTTTGCCTGTTCTCTCCTCAGACACCACGACGTATTCCACGGAGCGCTCGGAGCACTTTAAGCCATGCAAAGACAAGGACCTTGCATATTGTCTCAACGAGGGGGAATGCTTTGTGATCGAAACCTTGACGGGATCCCACAAACACTGCCGGTAAGTCACCTGCCAGAACAACCTTCTGCTTCAGGGAGGGAGCATTAGGGAAAAAAACCCCAAAACATTCAGGTGTAGAATGCAGTTCCTCCAGTTGGACTGCATCCCTCGCAGCTGGTGGGTTTTCTACTAGTCTGGGGTAATCATAAATAGAAATACGTAGATAAAAGAAGCAACATTTTGGTCTTTCCATAGATAAGAAAAAATCTCAATATTCTATTTTCTAATCATGTAAGGATTATTGTTTCATTTTGTTGAGTTTTTTACATATGAAAGTCCTATATTCCCTGATATACCAGAAGCATTCCTTTATTTTGGGTACTCCAGCTACAGTATTTGACAGTAGCTCTATTGTGCTGTTAATTGAGAGAGAGGAAGGGCTAGTAGTTTTAAGAATTAAGTTTAATTACTGAAGGATGAAATGGACTATGATAGCCACCTGAACCTGCTCTACAGCTGTTGTACACTTTTATACTCCTGAACTTCTGCTATTATGCGAGGCCATCTTGAGTGTATTGAGAAGAATATCAGAAAAGAAAGCCAGATCACTTATTAGTAGTATTATTATTATTTAGCCATGGAGGCCAGTAAAAAAGAGTGATATGCAGAAGGAATACTGCAGTATCTTCCTAAAGATGAGTATTTTAACACACATATCCACCAGACTCCAAATTATTTCAGCAATCTTTTAAACAGAAGAGCAGGTTTCCATTTTGGGCTACTTGTGGCCTAATTTACTCCTATGGTACTGTGTATGGCACACAAAAGGTGTATCTGAGATACACTTGTATCACTTGGGCACTCATCTGCCCAAATTCTAATCTGAACACCTAAATGTAGAGAGAACTCTAACACAAATGATAAAAAGTGTCGAGGACAGAAGATTTCCTGAAGTATTTGGGACTTAAGCTGCTAAGTCCCAATAAAAGCAGAAAAAAGAAGTTGCAAAGTCACATGTGCCTGGCTTAAAAATGGAAATTTATGAATTTAAAGATTGGTCAAATTCTGCTTATCATCAGAAGAATATTTCCAAGATTTTCACTTTTTTATACAATACTGGTGATTTTTCCCATTCAGTTGTGTATGGTTCAGTGATCATTCATTTCCCTTCTTTGTTTTTGTAGGGCATGCCTAAATTAAATATTATGATTCATTTATTGTGGAAAATTGATGTCTTTTTCTACTTCCATCATAATACTACACAGATTTTTTTTTTCCTCAAAGCAGATGAGTTTTTTTGGTCTGTCTTAGAAATGTCATGAGCTGTTAAGGGAATTATGTCACTAAATTATTGAAGTGTTTCTCATAGTCAGAATATTCAAACTGAACAAAAATGCTGTAAAATAGCAGAGAAAATTTTATATATATGAGCGTTTTTAAATTGGCTGATAAATTTAGTAGCTAACCTCTTTAAACAGACTGGTTTTGTAAACTGTGGGTTACATTTTAAAAAATTGGCAGGAGATATCTCTTAAGAGCTGCATTTTTGGGGTTATTTTTTTGTTTGACTTTCAGGATCTTTCCTATCGTCTTTGCCAAATTCTCATTTATTTCCTGTGATTCTGATAATGCTGCCTGGCTAATGGTTAGAAGTTTTTCACCCAAGCTTTCTCCTGTTAACTCAGCAAGCCAAAATGTTGACTTTTTGACTTCTTTCCAGCAGAGTGAAATTCTTTTATCCCTTTCCTTGTGTTATCCTCCCATAGGGAAGCAGCATTATCTCTGGGAGTCCCTTGGCTCCCGTGCGTTTGAGGGTTTTGTTGCCTGTACAAGTTTCAGGCACTGGCACATTCTCTGGCAAATAAACAGCCTTTTTATGGTGGGTACTTTGAATGCTGCAACACCAAAAGACCCATACAAGACATTGATTCTCATATAGCAAAAGATAAATTTTAAAATTTAAAGGGTGATTAGTTGTAGTACTTTGTTTAGTTTTGTAAGGACCTTGGACACTCCAAGCAGCAACTTGTTCAGGATCACTTTTATACTGATAAGTTTGTCATTAATGGAGGGAAACATTTAGGTTTGACTCTTATCTGTTGTATCTCTACCTGGGTAGACTGAGTGTGTCTATGTCACAGTGCCATAGTGAGTGGGATGCAGGTGTTTTTCTGTCTGTTCCCTATAACAGTGCTCAGAAATAACAGCCAGAATGCACACATATAGAAAAATACAGTACTGATATACTGTAATTGTCCTCTAACTAGTAAAAAAGCAAATTTTTTACAAGGGTTGTGGAATTCCCACTGCAATCAAAAAGAATAATTTGAATACAGAATTATGAAGGCTTAAAATGGTACTTTGTTCTTGAAATCAGGCTACATTGTATATTCTCACTGTGAGGGTGATTTTGCATCTGTTCTGGGAGCAGAGCACCAATTTACTGAAATGGGAATTTGCCATGTGGAACAGCTGCAGACAGAGGACCTTGGATGAGCAAAATCTCTTATCCCACTTGGTGAGGTTTGAAGGGTGTTAGTAGACGATATTCTTGGGGAGCTGTGCAGTTCTTGTTGTATGTGCATTTCTAAGGATAAATATGCTAATTATAAAGGGACAGAAAGAGTGATTTGGTAGCAATTAACAAATGTTTGAGTTACACCTTGGGCTTTTTCTGTATCCTCATGGCCCATGCTGGTGATGCCAGCAGGCTCGCCTGGCAGCTCCAGCACCGTTCAGGGTTCACAGACTCCGTGGTGCTGTTGTTGGAGGGCTGGCACGTGCCCACCTCCTGCCCCTGGCTGCCAGGGGTCACACTGGCACTGGGGTCTCGGGGCTCTGGCTCATCCCTGTCCTGGGGGGCTCCTGCTTTGACCCCACAGCTGTGGGGAGTGGAGCCAAGGTGCCCCCTTGGCCAAGGGCAGGGGGGAGGCCACTGGGAACACAGGAGATCAGAAGGAGCCCTGATCATGGATCTTCCATTCCTGTCCACCTACAGAGAGGAGTGTCCTGAAGTCGCAGGAATTTAAATTTTTTTTTTTTAATTTAAATTCTTTTTATTCTAAATTTAATTCAAATTCTGAAATTCAATTTTTATTCAAACTTCTGCATTTTACTCACTATCTCTTGGTGAAAAATTGCCTGGGATGTAAACTGGCAAGAGTTCTCCTGCGTGGTTAGGTAACAAACAAGATCCACTGGATGTTTTGTGCTATTTTGAAGCTGTGACTTCAGTGTTTATTTTTGTGAATGGTTTAACATGAGCTTGTTTTAAGGTCATCGGCAGGGAAACTTCATATTTAGCTTCTCCATATGCTTAAATTTTTTTCAATGTTGCCACCTTGAGAATTTAAGCTGAATGGTGAGGGTGCCTTAATTTGTAATTTACACCAAAAAAATCAAGTACACAGTCAACTCTGATACATCAGTGTTTAATGGAGCATTATGTAATCCAGGCTTTAAAAAGACCTGTTCAAGTTTTCTTTGTACAATTTTATTTAAAATACCCCATCTCAAGTCATTCTGGGTTGATTTTTTTTTTTTTTTGAGTTTGGCTTGTCGAGTTGTGGTTTTTGGGCTCTTTTTATAACTCCTTCTACATAATTTTTTTTCCTTTTTCATCCCTGGATTTTCTTTAGATAACCCATTTAAGACTGGAAAACATTGGTTGAGTAAGTGGCTAAAACTTCTGAGGGGAGAAGAGGATTGTACTTTTAAATTTCTCCTCTGGAAGAAGCCATGAAGACAATTGTGTATGCACAGGAAGTCTTGGCATTGGTGATGAGCTCTGATGTACTCTTTGTAGGTTTGAGGAGTTGGATGAGATATACCTTTCATCCTGTCCTTCATCTCTCCTTCAAGCAGTAGAAAGCCTGAGTAAGTTTTGACAATGGAGAATCAAAGAATAGACTCATAAATGTATAGTAAACAAAACATAATTGCCAGTTGACCAAATTACATCAGCATCTGAAGTGTGCTACTGTGGTAACAATCCCAGAGTTTTTAGATTTCATTGGACAATCTTTTTTTGATGCATACATGCTGTTCTGGTGAATTCTGAGTTTGGTGATCTTGCTCATATTTATGCATAAATTTTCCATTTTTACATTTAGTTGATTAAAAAATTAGACCAGTTTTCTCAGCTTTGTTTAAAATCTGTCATGAGAGCAGAAGGATTGAATCCCCATTTAATGAAAATCTAGTTTGGATAAATGTTTATATACTGTCAGGTTTTATTGTGAGTCTTCTGCATAATAGTAACTGTAATGCAGGCATAGCCCTTGCTGTCAGTAAAAGCAGGAGAAAGGGATCAAACAGATGGGACTTCAGCACAGCTCTGAGCTTGGCATATGATACGTGCACTTTACCATAAGTTAAAAATCTAAAAAAACTAAGAATATAATTCCCTGATTTAGTTACATGGCTTGTTTTCTAGGCTTGGGCAGTCTGACCTAGGTGTTTTGAAATACCAGCTACTCCATTTTGTGCATTCCCCCATCTTGTATTATGCTGACACTTTTCAAGAATGCGAGCCCAGGAAATAAATCACTATTGAATAGCATTAAATACATTAAAAAAATCTCACTCATGTCATAATATTCCAAGCATAGTTTCACCAAAATAATCCATTGTATAAAGATGACAATGTAATATACAGCTACAAGCTTTCAAATGAAGAAGGCTATGCTTGGAATGTAGGCTATTTTCCTTGTCAAGGGCAATCAGCAGAGCTCCTGTTATGAAAATTATTGTCTTATGAGCATTCCAGTAGCACATATGTAGATTATATTTGTGTAGTTCCATGCACCATTTTCTGGGATGCCTCTACCTTTAATTTCATGGAAAGCCTGAAGCAAAGTCAAAATACCAAGTTAGCTTTCTATAAGCTGTTGTTAAGGAACTATTTAGTAACTTTAATGTAGATCCCCATGGTGTTATTAGTCCATCACCTGTTTATTCAGCAGTGCTCTAACAGGCTGGGGTTGCTTTCAGCACTGTGATTGCTTTCTTTAGCTGAAATGGAATGGCCAGTGTGCTTAAGTGTTGTGCCTGGTTCATCC